ATGCAAGGGTTGGTGAAGATGACAACTCTATATGGTCTTCTGTTTATGGAGTTCCGTTCATCATAACACCTACCTTTATTGCTCAAGCCATCAACTGTGTCCAATCTGGAGTCATCGTTAAATATTTTCGTCTGACCTACTCCTTTGTTGAAGAACTCATTGCCACTCATGATGTTTGAATTCACAGATATGAACCTTATAATCCTAAATGGCTCCTTCCCACTGCTAAAATGTAGTTTCATCTCCTACTAACCAACTTCCGACCCCGAGGAGTGGCCAAAGATGCTTTGTCTCATGATGATAGACTCTTTATCTACTTTGTGATGTACAACGTCTGGGTCAACCTTCCTCAAACTATCTTCAATCATCTGAGGTATTCTTTTGAAGTCTCTAGAAATTAGCATAAGTCCTTCATTCCTTATGGAAGAATTCTGTCTGAGCTGTTCTTCAAGACCGAAATCATTGGATTAGCCAAAAGACTTGGACCAGAAAATGTTGTGGTTGAAGAAAGATGTGAAAGAGTTAATAAGGTGCAGGATTTTGATGCTTTGTGAGCGGGTGTTCTTGTTAGTGTATCAAAATTTGTTCTCTCAATTTATGTGTTTGGTTAACCATCTCGTTTGTCTGTCTCTCTGTCGTTTGTTTGGTTGTTTAAGTGGTTATCTTGTTTTGCTCCTTGTTTATGTATATTTGTAACTCTGGCATTATTTTTGTTATTCAATGAATATTATCCTTTTGTTGCATTTGTTGCATTTTATTGCATTCTTTTCTTTTTGATTGCTGAAAAAAAGGGGGAGAAAGTAATGATTTTGATATACCTAATTTTTCTTGAATCAAACCCAAACATTCTAAATATTTGCACTAACCCTTGTTTAAAAGGATATTATGTTAGTTGTTTTGCTTTCAGGAAAAATTTATGTTATATCAGAAATACCTGAAAAATCAGAACATAATGTATGAAGCCCAAACTCTGAAGATATGTTAGCTTCTTAAAAGTTCTGAATCATTTTGAGTGAGAAAATACTTCAAAGACAATTCAAGTTTATTCAATTGATCAAAAGTAAAACTCATCAAAAGTTGATATGCGTTAAGTTCAAGAAACTTCTGACAGATAAACTAGTTCTTTTAAATAGAAGGTTCATATACTCCTACAAAAGGTTAATCAGGGAAGTGTTCTTTCATTCTGATAACTTTTTAGAGTTGCTCATTTCAAGGGGAGCTTTGTGCTTCTTTCTGATATATGTTTTTGGTGATTACCCAACAAAAATTGTTCATTAAAATACAGTGTTTTGTCAATATCAAAAAGGGGGAGATTGTTAGAACAAGATTTGGTTCTGCATCTGTATCTCTAAGTTTTCATGATAACAAGTCAGTATTTGTGTGAGAATAATTTTGGTACCCTAACGGTTTGTTGTTGTGTATCTTTAGCAAACAGCTTTGATTCTGACTCTTGAACGTAGAACTTTACAAGTTTCTGAATATATTGATCTAAATTGCTTCTGCTCAAACTCACAAATGAAAAGCTTCTAAGAAAACTGTATATTATTGTTGCAACATTCTATTGGCTCTTGCTTCTGACGTGTGACTCTAATCAATTCACTTCTGAAGACAAATTAAGCTTCCGAAGATTAAAAGCTGAAGGTTCTAAAACTCTGAAGAATCTCAAGTCAGATGTTGATGTGATCAAGCTTCTGATTGATGATTGAAGTTTCAGAACTCAAGCTTCCGAAGATTAAAAGCTGAAGGTTCTAAAACTCTGAAGAATCTCAAGTCAGATATTGATGTAATCAAGCTTCTGATTGATGATTGAAGTTTTTGAACTCAAGCTTCTGAAGATTAAACGTTTAAGGTTCTAAAACTATGAAGAATCTAAAGTCAGAAATTGATGTGATCATGCTTCTGATTGATGATTGAAATTTCTGGACTCAAGTAAAATCAACTCTTCTATCTCATGATTCAAACAATGTTTTATCCAAAAGCCACTGAAGAATAGAAGATAAGAACGAGTTTATACATGGGAAAATAGTACATAGTACAAACCAATATTCCTTCCACTAAGAAGATTTCGTGGAGTAAGGAAATTGAGGTAGTACAATTCTTGTCCCCTCCATATTAAATCGTTACTCAAGTCGCCAGCTCATTCATGAAGAATACCAGATATGCCCTTCAACAGATCTTTTTTATTAGCTATATAAAGACTTGAAGACTTGAAGAAACAAGATACACATGCAAGACTGTTGTCATAACTTGTGCTAAAATTTTCTTTAAGTGTATTGTGTTTTTAACTTGTTTATACCTGCTTATATAGAAGCAATCTTTGTAAACACAACCTTGTAATCAAACTGTTGTTTGTATTTTCTTAAGGGACCAGTTAGGTCAGAATCCTTGAGAAGACATAGACGGTGTGTCTTTGTGTTTGTCAGTCACCAGCGGTTGCTAGTGCAGTTGTAATCAGTTGATTATAATGGATTAAGTCCTTGGGTATAAGGTAGAATCACCTTGGCGGGTGGACTGGATTAACTTTGAGATTTCCAAGTGAACCAGTATAAAAATCGAAGTGTATTTCTCTTTGTTGTTGAATAGTTGTGCTTTTTTATTGAGTGAGTAAAAAACTTGTTTTTTAAAACTCCAATTCAAACCCCCCCCCCCCCCCCCCCTTTTTTTTTTGTAATTTTCTCACCTTCATAGAGCCTCGATTTTTAAAGGCGAAAACTATGTGTATTGTAAGGATAATATGAATGTTCACTCATTTTCAATAAATAAAATATTTTGGGTAGTTATCACAATCAAACCTTTTATCCCTAAAAGGGATGTCGATGGGATATCCACTATAAAATCCCCCAAAAAATTGGACGAATTACGACAGTAAGAAGACATTTTATGACTTGAAGGCGAGAAACATACTCATTTTTGAGTTAAAAGTGAAAATGCATTGTTCAATTTCACATTATAAGACTGCTCAATCAATGTAGAATGTTCTTCAAGTACTTTATAAAAGTACTCAAAATGTACAGAAATATAAAATTAACATATTAATAGAAAAATATAAACTATTCCGTATAAAATCCATTGAAACCGTAGAATCCATGCACATGTATTTTATTCACTTAATCAATAAATTATAAAATTTGAATAAATCTTTATTTAATCAAAATTGTGCTAACAAAGTTTTGAGACCAATAATTTTTTAATTATATGAGGGTGAAACATATATAGAAATAATGAGACAAAACTTTCTAATATTGAGCACTTCTAAAACAAATATGAGGTTTGGCAAGTAAATAGTTAATAGGGTTGTTCAATAAGCCCTATATATTTCTCTAAAATCTTAAGAAAATTCAAAAATGTCCATTTATCACGTCTACTATCTTTTCAACGCACCATGAAGTTTTTCGCAATAAAATTCACTAATAAAAGTGACACGAGAGAATATTATAATTTTAAAATTTAAGTAAAAAATATTTTTAAATTAAATAAAAATATAATTCAAACATATTTTAGTTTAGGCAAATTCTAATGCACTCATTACAATTAGTTGGTTTCGGATACCTTTATAAATAGATGGTATATTTAATTTTAAACACCAATTTTGTGTAATTGCAATTTAAAAGTCCTGATCATCTAAAAAAACCTAATTTTCGCAACAAGACTCTCTGCTATGTCTCTCTCGTGCCACCATATCGAGTCATCGTCTCCGATGAAAAACCTTGTTTGAGTTCTGAGGATGGAGGAAGTTGAAATAAGTGATTTGTAGTACTATATCATGTTAGAGATGTAGTTCTTGAAGTCAAGCTAAACCATTTTCAAGACTTCCACCATCAACTTTTGGTTCAATTTGATGTGACAATCACTATAAAAAACTAAGCTTTATTATCAATTATGATTCATGTGGTTTAAGATAGTAGAGAGAAGTATAAAGTGCTTGTTGGATTATTTGCAAATTCTTAATTCTCATGTAATGATAGATGATACATGTGATGTAGGTCAATTATCCAGCAAAGAGAAGTGAACTGAACCAACAACTTAAAATTGCAAGTAGCTAAGGCTTAATTGTCCTATACCTCCTACCCAACTACCACCCACCATTATATATACATACAGTTGGGTACACCTATATGCATTAATATCATCACATCTACTCCAAAAAATAAACAATTAAAACTCATCTACAATGGTGCTTCTATCCAAAATGGTCACTCTTTAGTCCTCTCTATCAATTTGAAGTGAAAAACTAACTATCTTTCCTTCAAAAGGGTGTCCTACTTACCAAATTATAGGACCACACAAATCAATAAGCATGGCTAATATTATATGACCTAAATGCCACCATTTTACTTTCTTTACAAGCTTGCTCAAAATTTCCCATTTGTTCAAACCAATACATATACAGAACTTTTATAACAAAAAAATAGAAACCAGATATCCTCTGCTCGCATCTGTAGAGACTAATCCCTCCAACGGAGAAGAATTACATACCATGTTACTACCATATAATACACAATAAAAAAAGTCCTCAATATTGCAATCTTCACAACAAGTCCTCTAAACAAAATGAGTAAAAAAAAGTTGTAAAGTTGAATCTTAGACCTAACCAAACAAAAACAACAGCCTCAGTGAGCACTTGCATTACTATATTCATTAAAAAATGAAAAATGATGATGATCATGAACCCCAGTAGCTTCATTTGAAGGGACAATATTTCATGATTCTTCATGTACTACTTCATATAATAATATAATAATCATACAATATGCTAGTCTGACAAACAGACAATGTGACACTCCTAAAAATCTCAGTTATAATATACTAATAACAATTATGATAATAATTAAACAAATCAAGAACAGATATTCTTAATCTTAACTTCTTAACTTCTCATTCACACTTGCAACATAATTAATTAAAGATAATAATGATAATAATAATAATAATCAATCCTCAATTTCAATTACTGTTATTATAACAATATAATAAGGGAATGAAACAAGCTAAGAAGGGAATTAAAGATGGCATCCAAAGCAATTACAGTACTTAGGAGCAAATGAACAGAAACCAAAAGGCTTATTGGGAATGTTGCAATTGATGGCATAGCAACAAGGAGAAGGTATGCAAACCCCTTTTGCTCCACCACAGCATGTACAAAGGGCACATATCCTGAAACTTCCAAGTTTCCTTCTGCTATCATTCATCATCATCATCATCTTTTCCATCTTCCCATCTTCCATCACAGGCACCATTGGAAATGACCCATTTGCTTCCTGTTGATAAAAAAACAATCTTTTTCAGTTTTTGAAACTACCCACATGAAAATAAGCTAGATCCATGAATTAAACTCAAAAGGGTTGGCATAGATTGTAGAGAATACTTACATGGAGCAAGGTTGCTTCATTGCCTAAAATAGAAACAAAAATGAGAGAGAATATGAGACAATGAGAAGGAATCATCATGGCTGGTTTTGTGTTTGAAAAGGGGTTACTTGGTAATCTTGTCTTTGTGTAGATGAGATTGAAATTGGTATCATAAATGAGTATTTGGTGGCTATTTGTGTTTAAATTTGTGAGTTTAGTACATCAAACTAAACTTAATAGGTAGGTTTGAAGTTTGAAAAGTAAAGAGATCAAAAATGGAAGGAAAATGAATTATGAGTTGGAAGATGGAAGAGAGGGTTTAAGAAAGGGGGAAGAGAAGAAGGGTTTCCTTAGGAAACAGGGGTCACAGGAGTGACCTTGTGTGTAGAAGTAAAGAGAAGAGTGACAAAGAAAGAAAGAAAGTATGAGAATTTATTTAATTGAAAACACTTTCTCTCTCTATCTAACACTTTCTCTCTCTACATGGTACAGGTAAAAAGTACAAAAACTAAAAAGAAATTAAGGGCACAAAATAAAAGCTGGAAATTTGACTATGGAAAGTTTCTTGAGTTTACACAAGTATGTTGACTACAAAATTTGGATATACATTGGTGTGGAGTTGGATCTTACATCAGGTGGCTCATTGGATACTTTGAAATCTTATCCAAATAAATACAAATTAAAATTAACTAAAATTATAATACCTCATTTATTATTATAAAAAATTAATTTATACTAATTTTTTAGAAAAAGTTGAATTCTGAAACTAGTTTGTATTCATTTGATCTAAGTAACATTAAAAGTTGAATTATATTACTCAATCATAATTTTATATTAATTAAAATGTTGTTTTGAATGTAATTGATTTTTAAATTTAATATAAAAGTTGTAGTTAATTATCTCACTAACTCATAGTTCGAATTCATTTAATCTAATTAACAATTATTAATTGAGTTTTTCTATTCATTTTAATTTTATATTAATTAAAATATCATTCAAATGTAGTTTTTAGATGGATGGAATAACTCAACTCCTATGTTAATTGAGTTAGGGATAGTGTAAGTTCAATCTCAATTTATAATATTTACTTATATTTATGTATTAATTCAAATTTAATATAAAATATGATTTATTTCATTAAAGTATTTCATAGAGATTTTTAATTTAGCTAAAAGATAAAAGTATCTACATTTATCTTAAAGGGCAATTTATTTTATCGAAATCTATGTTTTAACGGTGATTGTATCATTTCACAAGTCTATCTTTATTTTTTTAAACATTGTCATTTTCATCTAATTTGTTGTGAGAAACCCATTTGGTCATAAACACTAATCTCTCTCAATATGATTTAACTCATCATGCATAACAAAGCATATCAGAAGACTAATATTCGCCAATGAGAGCTTCACCCATTAACTAAATTTAAGAAACAAAAGTTAAAAAAGTTACATACATGATTAAAGGAATGTTGAGTTGTGACTCCATTCGAAATATCTCCAATGACGTGTTTGATTGGATGATCTTTTGTTGTCCTTAATTCCTTTGGTAGGTCTTAATGTTTTATTTTGATTAATTTCAATTTGATTTTGATCTTTATTTTTATCTTGATCATTATATAGGTTTTGTTTATTATCTTGATCTTTATCTTGGTCTTGATATTTTTCATCTAGAAGAGTGTTCTTTAAATACCAACACAATCAAACATTTCTTCCTCTACCAACTTAGGGTTGGTTTCATCAAAGATAGCATGGACTTATTCTTCTATTGACATTGTTCTTTTATTAAAGATTATTGAAGCTTTGCTAGAAGTGTAATATCCTAAGAATAAACCTTCATCAACTTTTGCGACGAAATTTCCAATGGTATCCTCCCCCTTTATTAAGGATATAATATTTGCATTTGAAAACATGGAAGTGAGAAATATTGGACTTCCTTCCTTTATATAACTCATAAGACGCCATCTTTAAAATTGGTCTTATCAAGACACAATTCCTTACACAGCAAGTAGTGCTTACTGCGTCAATCTAATGGTACTTAGGAATGTTAGTTTCATTGAGCATTGTCCTTGCTAGCTTTTTAAGAAATTTATTTTTTTTGTTCTATAACTCTGTTTTGTTGGGGAGTACGTGGAGCAGAAAAAGTAAGCTCAACTTCATTTTCGTTACAAAAGTTCTCAAATTTCATATTTTGAAATCCGCCTTTGTGATCACTTCAAATGCATGCATTGCTTAGGCCTTTTTGTTTTGGACAATTTTCAAAAGGCAACGAACATGTCTCTTTTATGATATATCGAAAGCGTCCAGGTATAGTGATAATAGTCATCCACTATTATAAGAACATATTAATTCTTGCCAAAACTCATGGTTCTTGATGGGGCAAAAAGATCCATATGCAACATTTGTAAAGGCTTATTTGTAGAAAAAACATTTTTCAATTTATTAGAGACCTTTACTTGTTTACCCTTTTGGCAAGCATCTGTAACATATTCTTTTAAAAATACAAGTTTAGAAAATCAATTACTAAATCCTTGTGAACCAATTTGTTCAAATGGTCTATGTGGATATGGGTTATTCTCGTATGTCATAGTCGCGATTCATCCTCATTACGTAAAAGACATACATCATTTGAAGGGATTTTATTAAACTAACATTGCAGTTATTTCCACTTCTTAAAATAGTAAAAAGAGTTTGATTGGTCTCGTATTTTATAACCTTACATTCATACGAATCAAAATTCATTCTATTACCTTTGTCATATAATTGGCTAATGCTTAAAAAAATTATATTTTAAACTATCAACTAAAAGAGTATCCCCACTCGTTGAATTGGAAAACTTACCAATAATGTCTGAACCAATAATTCTCCCTTTGTTATTATCACCATAGGAAACATAAATTCCCTTTTTAGGAGAGAAAGAAGATAACAAAGATTTATCTCCAGTCATATGCTTTGAACAATCACTATCAAGATATCATTTAGCGTTTGACATTGTAAAGCAGACATGCATTATGAACTTAAGTCGTAACTTTGTTGAACATATGACTTCATACACAAGATATGGTGAACTGTAGAGGGTTATAAAAGAGTTAATGGAAGAAAGATAATACCATAAAGTTATAGAACACTACTACAAAAAACACATGTAACCTCAAAAGCGAAGTTGATTTAACCTCAGCTAAAGAGGCAAGGTAGCGAAAGACATCATGAAAAGCTGTTATTTTGTCCCTTGGTTTAAAAATAATCGAGGGGTTAGTTTAAATCGTCATGGGCTCGATTCCCAACAATAGATTTTTTATATTTCCTAAGCTAACTCCATATACCTCTCGGTTTAATAAATTAATTCGTTTACAAACTACATTATTTACATAGGATATTAAAGTAAAAATGTTGTATATGTTTCATCATTATCACTGTCAATGAAGAACAAATGCTGGATATCTTGGAGAAGAGAGAATGTTATGGACCATCGTTTCATTGATCTTGAGGAAGATCAAATGTCTGATATAAAACAAAAACAAAAGTTAGATAAATAAAATAAATGAAAAAGAGTCTAGTTCTATGGTTATTTAAGAGCACAAACCTTGAACCCAAATAATTGTCTACTCTTGTAATCCATCCTTAAGAACTTTTCCCATAAAAATAATGAGAACCCATTCTTAAGTTTCAAAGTTTTCATTTCAAATGTTTCTTTATCAATTTTTAATATTCATAATGCTTTTATAATATGGATTTTAGGTTTCACGAGGATCACTAATGGCAGTGTCTTGAGCATTGACACTCATTAAATAAACGATAAAGATTTATTTAAGGACAATGAAGAAACTGAATAAACACGCTTATATTTTACCTCAGTTATTACTCAAAACCAAGGTAAAATGTGTTTATTTTTATATAAAAACAATTTTTGTGAATGATGTCGTCAATAACAGAACAAAGTTATGAGATAAATATTTGAGTTTCTGGAATAAACACAAGAAACCCTATTAGGTTTTATAAAGGGAGAGAAGAAGAAAGAAAAAAATAGAGAATTGGTTAAAAAGATTTTACTATTCACTTTTTCAATGAGGGTTTAAATATTACAAGTGAATACTGTTATTCTTTACTTTCTCTTTGAGACAATGTTACAAGTGTTGCAGAATAGCAAATAACCTCTATCACCCTAATTAGGATTTGCACCACACTCCAAAGATGAGAGACTAGCATGGTATTTATAAGAAAACTAACATACTAACCTAATGGGCTTTTACACACAGGCCCATTATACAAGCTAACTTAAGGAACAAGCTAACTTAAACAATTGGGCTCACAAGCAAGGCTCAATTCAGCATACTAACTTAAACTACAAGTTAATATATTTCGACAGAATGCTTGAACAGACTTCGACTACAGCATGCACAACTTCTATCAAAATATCAAGCTACCCTTGTCGACACTAGAGTTCGATTCAAAATACCACAAATCTCCACCATGGAACAAACTCTACACAAACAAGGTAACAAACTAGATTTCATCACCTCTAATCTTTTCAACGCTTCTAAAAAACCCTCTTGAACAAGAAAGGCTTGCATCTTCAAGCGCCACAAACCAAAATCATTCACACCGGTGAATTTCTCAATCTCATACTTTATTGACGACAACTTCTTCTCAATGCTCACCACACCAATTTGTTGTGAATTGATGTCGTCAAGAACAAACCAAAATATGAAGAAAAAAATTGAGTTTCTTGGACAAACACAATAAACTCTATTAGGTTTTACAAAGGGAAAGAAGAAAGAAGAATAATAATAGAGAATTGGTTAAAACTATTTTACTATTCACTTTCTCAATAAGAGTTCAAAGATTGCAAGTGAATACCAACAATTAACATCTCAATAACCTGAGAGAACTAGTCTATTTATAGACTTATAAACCGCTATTCTTTACTTTCTCTTAAAGACAAGGTTACAAATGTTACATAATAGCAAATAACATTTATCACCCTAATTAGGATTTACACCACACCCCAAAGATGAGAGACTAACATGCTATTTATAAGAAAACTAACATACCAACCTAATGGGCTTTTACACGCAGGTCCATTACACAAGCTAACTTAGAGAA